CCATCGAGGTGTGTAATTTAGTGTTGCATACGCACAGGCGTCAGTCAATTTCACTTATGGCATGCGAGCACCCAACGCCCGTCCATTTGCCCAGCTTTGGGCCATCAAAATGTGCACTCTAAGCCAAATGCCGAAGTGGTAAACAATGTGCAAATGCCTTTGCTGCCTGGCCTGTGAGTAAAATTAAAACAATAAACGATTCGAGTGGGTTTCGGGGTGGCGAATGCAAGGCAATCTCCGTCTGGGCCGTAAAAGTTTTTGAATACCTCAATTGTTGCCGCAACAATGGGCGGGGATTTCCCCTTTTGTGTGCCGCATTTGTATTGGGGTTGGGGGAGGTGGAGGGGGGTAGTTGGCAGGTGAAGAGGGTGGTGGCAGCTTGGTGGCTGGTCAACTAACATTTTACCTTTTAGGCAGCTCTCATGCATGAAATTGAAAGAGTAGCAATTGATTGAAAATTTGCCGTGAACCAGGTTTTGCAGAATATACAGACAAAATAAGGATAATAGCTGTAGCACGAAAATTGCGGTTCACTCGATATTTTTGACGTAATTTGAATTTTTCGCAGAAAACAAAAAAATAAAACGAAATTGAAACGAGAAAAATGGAAATTTCAGTGGTGCGGGTGGGGGAATGGGAAAGCAGTCAGGATAAATTGATAACGCAGCAATATTACGCATATGCCACGGATATTTAGTATCTGCGGGAGGCGCAGGGGGCGTGGCCGCTAAGAAGAGACGAATAGAGGAGAAATAAGCAGTGCAGAGGTTCCATCCCACTCGGAGTCAACTAATCCGGCTGGCAAACATTACGGAAATGTGGCAAAGAGCACAGCGCATTTTGGCGCATTTCACTTTTCAGGATTATTTAGAATTTATGCATAAACAAGCAAAAGGACGTTACCCAAAGTCATTTGTTTAAGTCAGCCATGTGAGTGGAAAAGTGCTGGAAGTGCGGGAAAAGCCGGGCCATTTATAGCCATCTCGTCTGCTGTCTCCCGGCTGTCAGGCTGCCTTTGTTCTGGCTTCATTTTTATTGCCACTAGCGAAACAATTTCACATTCGCCACTCACCCGGCGGAGAGTCAACTTGCAAATTGCCGCAACGCCCAGCGAAGCTGCCACCCCTTGCCTGCCCCACGCCCTCTTTTGCCCAAATTGGGCAAAAGGCCTACAAAATGTTGCACGTTCTCGTGCATAAAAGAACAGACATCTTGAGGCAATCCAAAGTCAGGAGTGCAACGAAAGTCCGACTTGGCTGGCACTTGTCTTCGTCCTTGTTGTCCTCGGTGTCCTTGCCAACCTTCCGGAACCGGTCATTAGCATTTGCTACCAAACCTTTCTCACCTGCTCTTCTGAAGTGGCCAGCAAAAGGTCACAGTCAGAGTCACGTGTGCATGTTTATTAAATAATTTATCGGACCGCTTTCGCCAGGATTTGTGTGACAATATACAGAGATTTGTGTCCTTGGAAGGGTGAAAGTTATCTTATTAGGTTCCGAAAGCTTCATTTGAGGTGATATACTTTTAAAATACACTTATCCAATCCAGTTCACATCAATACTTTTGTCAGTTCCCTATATTACTATTGCCGTTAAAGGGCTTTTCGAGAACACTTGCATATAAATCTTCTCATGGCATTGGTCTGGTTGTCAAAGTGGTTTGGTATTACCTCGATGGACGCCCCTCAATTCGAAAGACTCATTTTCATCTGGGGATGAGCCCGCCACGCCCCCCGACATGCTGCACTAATTGAGAGATTCAGAAAGTTGGCTGCGAGCAAGGCTCGGATGGTATCAGGCATCAGGCATCAGGCATCAGGTTGGTTTGCCGTTGTCATACATGGCGTATACGTCATATGGCAATTTTGTGCGACGACCGAAACTATGAGTGCAATTGAAGTTACTTCTCGAGGATTGCAGCACTTGAATTGTCCTTTGGATGTTGACAAACCAGCATGCAGTCCCTTGGCCAGAGCGAGAGGGGTGAGATGTCCTGGTGGGAGCGAGACGGGATGAGCTCTCTGTGTCAGAAAGTTGCTGCAATTTTCGACTTGACTTGGCGGCGAGTCGGGGATTCAGGGCGTCATGGAGTCAGGCAGTCAGGCAGTCAGGGATTCAAGGAGTCGAGGAGTCGAGGATCTCAAGACTTGCCGAGTCCGCTCGCCGACAAGTTATTTTATTGATAAACTTTTTGCCGACTGCAAAAGAAGGCGTAAGTCAGAGTGGGTGGAATCGCTGATTCGCCGGTTCGTTCGCCGACTCTTTTGACATTTTCTGCTTTCTGCTGCTGTCTTCACATTGTTTGGCTTAAATGGCATTAAATCCTTTTAATGCTGGGCTGCCAGAGGGGCCCGGAAGCGGGCACTTTGGGGAAATCAATTGTGCTGATTGTCCTGCAATTGAGCTGCCACCCCATCCAGCATTGTTTTTTCTTTTTTACCCATTTTTCTCGACTTTTCTTCGCCTGAGTGTTTATTTTTTTGCGCCCGACACTTGGGCACATTATCCGTTCGGGCCAGCTGAACAGCTGAACAGCCGAAAAGCTGAAGGCAAATTGAAAGATTTCTATGGAAAAACTGTTGCACGAACACAGAGTGTGCAATGGTATGCCTGAACATCTTCATTGCCATTTGATGGCCTGTGACTCGCAGGATTCAGCGTACAGCGTCCAGGATCCAGCATCCAGAATCCTTGAAGCCATCCCAAAGCACCTGCAATGTGTGTGCGCGTGTCGGAATTCCCGGGCCCGTCTTTATTGCCACTTTCAAGTTGCATGAAATTAAACCCGTTTTACGAGCAGGAATGCAGGCGTTCTCGCTCTGCAATCTTGAATCTTTAAGCGGTAGCATGGTCGTGGATTTCCCTGCGTTTAATTATGGAAATGTGCGGCTGAGCCGAAAGAGCATCGAGTGTTATTAATTACAAACAAAGCGAGAGGCTTGTCAAGGACTCGGCGCTAAGCCAAACCACTCAGCCGCACAGTTGCCCATTAGGCACCGCACTTTTCTGTGTGCGAAAAGGCTAAAAGGCGACTGCAACAAAAGGCCGCAGCCGAAATGCTGCAAATCTTAGCGAAAATGGTGAAAAATCTGGAAAAGCGTGCGGTCACGTGGTGGCCCCTCATTCCCATTCCCATTCCCACTCCCCCTGGCCGATAAGAAAACGCTTAGAAAAGCGTGACCACAGCAGCAGGCTCCATCTGAATAGCCGCCACCTGCTCCATGGTCCATGGTCGGTGGTCCAATTCAGGTGGATGCAGTACAACCACAGCCGCAAGATAAACTCCACAAAAGACTGGCGCCGGAGGAAAGCCAAACGGAAAAGCCAAGGAAAACGCAACTTTAGCGAATTTTTCGCTCTCTGCTAAGTTTTTAGTTAGTACTTCTTTTTTAAGATTTTTTTCCCTTCCTTGCTCCTTTAACCGCTTCGCGTTGAATAAATCATTCGTTTTTTTGTTCGTCATGTCAGTCTTTTCCCTTTTTTCCGACTTTGTTTTTCCCGTCGCTGCTGGTAGTCATAAAACAATTGACGTTAAATGTAGCTAAATGAAAACTCTGTCAGGAGAAGCAGCTCGAAGCAGACTTTTGTCCATAAGCGATTTTCCGGCCGATTTGAAAAGATTCTCAAACAGACTGCCAGTTGATTCTGAGTAGATTATGCTGGGATCCGAATGCAAGTGCAAGAGAAGTGGGTTATTTACTCCTCTGTGGGGCAGGTGGCTTGCAGTTGAGTGTGTCTTCATACAACATAAATAAACCGCTTTCCTGTGGCATAATTGACGAATAAAAGCTGAAGTAGTGCAATCAATTCCTGCCATTTATAGTAATAAATTGATATTTCCTGTTCCTTTCGGTCCATCAGAAAGCGGGCTTAAAATATTGTTTAACTAAAAATTGTAAGGGGTTATTATTTTGTTTATTTTTAAATCACTGCTTCCGTTCGGGAAATCTGAATCCCATTCAACAGTCTTTGGCGTATTTTCCCATTTAGTTCTTCACAAACTTTCTTTGAACTGCGCTATTAAAAACAGTTCCTTAATTTTGCTGATGCATTTAGCCTTGATGTTCGTTTGCTTAGAGAGAATATTCTAGGACTAATTAAGTTCTTGGCTGGAAGTGTTTTGCAGGCATTCAGTCTCAGTTAGAGATGCCATTCACATTTAAGCCAGGATACTCGACCCTCTTTGCTTAGCCTCAAAAGTGTTGCCTACTTTTGGGCCCTCATTGCACATTAGTGCTCTGCCTTGAACTTACTCACACATGCATACCTCTGCAAAGAGTCCTTCTAGTCGCTGCTCGTTTTGATTTATGCCAAAAAATAGCTTGGAGTTGCGCAGCACCCACTTTCCAGCCTTTTAATTGGCTTTAATTTCCAACACCCAAACAGATCCTGGAGCCGGCGAGCACGTCCTTCAATGGCTTCTCTTGGCCATTGTTTTGCCGCTTAAGGCCTTTTTGGGGAGCGAAGCTGTCAGGCGGGAGAGCGCTAAAATAAACATACGGCTGCCAAGTTAAACACAGTCACACATTACCCGGTGCACGCAGAGAAAAAGTGGGCAGCTGCATGCGTTAAAAGTCATCTAAAAGACATTTAAATAAATTGTATGGGTGGAAACACATTTGAGTCGCCCTTTCTGAAATGGCACATCTTTAGAATGCAGCGCAAAAGTATATCCGGATTTTTCTCTGTGCATACAGTAAGCTGACGTGCACGGATGTAGATGTGCTGTGGCACTCACACGCGGACACTTAAGTTGCCAACAAGTCAGCGGTGAAGCCTTCTTGCCTCCTTGGATCCTTGGATCGCCTTCACTCTTTTGCGCAGGACGAGGCGTTAAGGCTACGGCTGCTGTGTGTCGCTGCTCAAATATTTACATTCCATTTAGGCGCCGGCCTGTCTGGGATGTCCTTCTGGCCCGGCTCCTGTTGACTAAAGCACTTCATCTTCATTTCACAGTTATTTTCAACTTCATTTGCGCGGCAAATAGGTGAACAAATACGCTCACTCAGCCGCACCAGCAACCAGGAGCTCCTCCACCTCCGTCTCCGCATCGCCACTCATGCCCCACATCCTGAGGCACCGAGATCCTGGCATCCTGTTATCCCAGTTTGGCGGGCAGCACGCCGCCTTGGCATTAATATGTGCCGTCGTAACTGTGTCACGGTGTCGTTTAACTTATTAGCCTCCTTGGCTTCTTGGCTCGTTGGCTTCGTGGCAGCCCCAACCGCTAGTCGGCCAGATCCTGTGGCCTATTTGCATTAGCTTAAGCACTTTTCCCTTTAACCTTAAATTGGGCATTATTGGCTGTGCAAAAAGGCGGGTGAGCCTTGGGCTTATAATTTGTTTTTAAATTAATTTCGATTTTGAATGTTATTAGTAACAGTTACTGAGGTCATGGTATTATTCTTGCTGCACACAGTTAGCTTATTAATTGCATTTGTACATCAAATATTTTCAATTTAGATAATCAAATCCAAGCATGTTTCTTTGTTAAGTGGCGTCTAAGCCACTTGATAAAGTTGATAAGCTTTCTAGCCATTTTTAATTAGCTTACCTAGTGTGTATATTCGTTCGGTGGGCCAATTACATTAGTGCAAGTTTTCCAATCCAGTTTTTTTTTATTTGCTGATGGGGTTGACAAGTCGGGCGCAAAAAATGTCGGTTAGCCGAACCGAGAAATTTTCGCCAAGTGGCAGACGAGACGGCTGGCGGGGAGGGGGCGTGTCAGGGGCGCAGATTAAATAATTCATTAAGGAAACTCGACTGTCGTCGGCTTCTTCGTCCTCGAGATGTTTTGATAAGCAAGGGGTAATTAAGCCCAGAGCAGCGAGCTGAGTGTTGGCCGTAAAATTTGTTGGCGGAAAGTTTGCTCGCGCATAGATGACATGAATTTAAATAGGAATTAAATTAAAATGAGTCGCCGGCAGCGCAGCGGCCGCAGCAATCACGGCTTAAATTGTGCAGCAAATTCGCTGATAAGGGGTCAGTGGGAAATATATTTAATAGCTGTGCGAAATTGGCGCAGCTTGTAAACACACAGGGCCAGAAAGCCAAGGCAACTGCGACTGTAACTGCAATTAAAAGCCGGCCAGAAAGTGCGCAAGTGTGCGTGAGTATCTGTGTGAGTGTGCATTTATGCTGTGCACGCAGCTGCATGTGCAAATGTACCGAGAGAAATAATATTCGTACAATATTTCGACCAAACAACGTTTAGTGACGAAGCTTCTTATAGTTTTACTGATATTTATTTGCATTGAGAAAATGGATTGATCAGAAAATTAATGCTGGAAGTGAGCCGTATCAATTATATTTTTGAAGTGTAGGTGTACGTGCACTTCATATGCATGACAATGTCATGGCAACTTGTAAGGCAACACCACTTATCCTGCCCCGCCCCCTTTCTTCCGCTGCAGATTTATTGCTGCCGGAAAAGGAGCTCCTTTCACGCTTCCCGCTTCGGTGTGTTTGCCTTTGGGCTTTTCAGTGTTTTCCAATATATTTCGATATTTCGGAGATGGCCCATTGTTGGCCTTGGCACCACAATCCGCCATTCGATGGCGGCCAAACCGCTGCAAGTAACTAAGTTGCCGATGCAGTTGCATTCTCGGCTGCAGTTGCATTGTTCAGCTGTATTTACACTAAGAATTTATAATGTGTTATTGTTTTTCATTCATTTCAATCGCAAGTGCGTTTGATGCGTTCCTACGCAACTGAAGTGCAAATACAGAGACAATCTTGATTTAATCATATTATAAGCCAGAATATTGAATATTGAAATAATGCAATTAGAAGCCAATAATTTAATATGCTTACAGAAATAATTAAATTTATTTTCAAATACTTAAAATACATTTTATATACAAGTGCTTATTGGACAATTTGTTGCATTATTTTTATAAAATCTCTACCCACCGCAGGTGGACTCGTCAAAGTCAAAGGTAAAACAATGGCCAAATGCAGCGCATATAAGGGCAGCTAATTACGGGCCAACGAAGCTCAACCGCATTGCCATGGCTTCCGATTGACATGGTTTTGTCATTAGTGCGGAGTCCGCAGAGTGCATTAAATTTAGCAAAAATCCAGGGCCTTTAAAGGCCGCCCCGAACCGAACAGCATGCATTGATTTATAGCCACACCGAGCCGCCGTTACCAAGTCCAACTCCCTTTTGGCCAAGGACCTCGCTCATCTGCTGGGGCGCCGGTTTGCTCGCCGGTGCATGAATGTCACTGCCGAGCCAAATGGACAAGACAAGCGGCGTGGCAGGCGAAGGCAGGCCAGAGGCACCGAAAGGGTTAAATGGCACTGAACATTGGCCAAAAGCGGTCCGGCAACAAATAACAAACCGGAAGATGGAGAGCCGCAAAAAGCGTACCAAAGAAATCAGCGCACGTTAGCAATTAATAATGGGGGAGTCGGGGCCCCAAAGTTTCCACAATCCCTGCCATTCAGTCCTGGATCGTCCTGCGTATGGGGACCTGAGAAAGATGCCACCAAGAGTGGAAAAGAAGTAGAAAGTATTGGAACCAAAAGAAAAAATTCAATAGCTTCGAAAAAATAACCAAGGCAGGGACTTGAGCCAATAAATATTCAAAGGTCAATAGAACTGAAATACAAAAACCAACACAAATATATGTGTATATCAAAAGTGGAATTAATCGATTCACTATAAATTCAATTCAATTTTGATATGTATTCAAATTATTTGTAAGAATGAAAGTTAGTGACTTCTAGCGAAAGAATTGTATATTATTTAAAAACAAAATTTATTAGATTTATATTTAATTTAGCTTAGTTATACAATTAAGCTTCTATTTAATAGTATTATCTTTTTATGTTTATTTTTCAGTTTATTTTACAGTTTTCCTTTTAGTTTTCGACTGCCAATTTAAAGGGTCATTAAAGCCGATGGCTGCTGACAGTTGGATAATGCAAAAAATTAAGTGCCACGTTCGTCCAGCCACGCCCACTCTAACAACCGCCCCCACACACGGACACACACGCACACCCAGAAGCCAGCGCACATGGTTGTCATATGTAATTATTAATTTCTAAAAAGCCATTCAGAAATAATATAATTTGAAAATGCGCGCGACGACGTGTCCGCCGCCAAATGTCTCTGATTGTCCGGGGATTTGAAGCGGAGGGGATCCGGAGTCGAGGGGATCCGGAGCCGGAGGGGAACGCAGATGGAAATGAGCACGGGGAATGGCCAGCGGGCGACTGCTCAGTTACAAATGTTGTTAGGATGCATTAATTTATGTGCATGCCCCCCTCTGGCAGGACGAATCAATATTCCCGCGGCGAAAGGACATATGCCGAATGGCCAGAAAGGCATCCCGCTGCATGTGTTTTGATTTAAAAGCCCACGCACACACGCAACTAATCCTAATTTAAATGTTTTCGCCTCGTTGTTGGCTTTTGAAAAAAAGGGGGCAATTTAATTGTTCCGCTGGTGGGCGGCGTAGTGAAAAGAAGTGAAAGAAAGGAGCACCGCTTTTGCATAACAAATTCAATTAAATAGGCAAGTGCATGAATTAAAAACATATTATGCTTAATTGGAAAATGAAAATTTGGTTAAAATAATATATGAATGAGGTAAAAACAGAATAAAATGCTATAGTCGAGGTCCCCGACTATCAGATACCCGTTACTCATCTACTGGAATATCGGTAGAAATTGGGGAAAAAAAGATTAAATAAAATAAAAAAATATTATAAAAATGTTTTAAAAGTGTGGGCGTGGCAAAAATTGTTTGCAAATCTATATAAATTTACAAGATATATAAAAAAGTTAAAAAATAACACAGTAAAAGTACCCAAAAAAAATTGCGCCAGAAATATTTAGAGGTATGCCACTTCAAAGTCCGATTAAAATAAGTTGAGTTATGGAGTTTAGAATTTCAGCCTTAGGATATTTTTTAATATTTTTGAATTTCTACAACATCAAAAAAATTATAAAAAAAAAATTTAAAAGAAATAAATTTCTAAATTTGAATGCAGTTTTTTAGAGAATTGCGCCAGAAACATTTAGAGGTATTCCGCTCCAAAATCCGATTAAGATAAGTGGAGTTATGGAGCTTAGAACTTCAGCCTTATGACATTTTTTCGAATTTGTGCATCATCGTCACATCAAAAAAGTACCAAAAAATTAAAAAAAAAAAAATTTCTAAATTTGAATGCAGTTTTTTAGAGAATTGCGCCAGAACATTTAGAGGTATGCCGCTCCAAAATCCGATTAAGATAAGTGGAGTTATGGAGCTTAGAACTTCAGCCTTATGACATTTTTAATTTTTTCGAATTTGTGCAACATCGTCACATCAAAAAAAGTACAAAAAAATTGAAAAAAAATAAATTTCTAAATTTGAATGCAGATTTTTAGAGAATTGCGCCAGAAACATTTAGAGGTATTCCGCTCCAAAATCCGATTAAGATAAGTGGAGTTATGGAGCTTAGAACTTCAGCCTTATGACATTTTTTAATTTTTTCGAATTTGTGCAACATCGTCACATCAAAAAAAGTACAAAAAAATTGAAAAAAAATAAATTTCTAAATTTGAATGCAGATTTTTAGAGAATTGCGCCAGAAACATTTAGAGGTATGCCGCTCCAAAATCCGATTAAGATAAGTGGAGTTATGGAGCTTAGAACTTCAGCCTTATGACATTTTTTAATTTTATTCGAATTTGTGCAACATCGTCACATCAAAAAAAGTACAACAAAATTAAAAAAAAAAAATTTTCTAAATTTGAATGCAGAATTTTAGAGAATTGCGCCAGAAACATTTAGAGGTATGCCGCTCCAAAATCCGATTAAGATAAGTGGAGTTATGGAGCTTAGAACTTCAGCCTTATGACATTTTTTAATTTTTTCGAATTTGTGCAACATCGTCACATCAAAAAAAGTACAAAAAAATTGAAAAAAAATAAATTTCTAAATTTGAATGCAGATTTTTAGAGAATTGCGCCAGAAACATTTAGAGGTATTCCGCTCCAAAATCCGATTAAGATAAGTGGAGTTATGGAGCTTAGAACTTCAGCCTTATGGCATTTTTTCGAATTTGTGCATCATCGTCACATCAAAAAAAAAAACAAAAAAATTAAAAAAAAAAAAATTTTTTAATTTGAATGCAGTTTTTTAGAGAATTGTGCCAGAAA